GCTATCGAACCTGAACATTCTGATTGGCTAATCCTCTACAGCGACTTCTACAGAGGTAGTGTACGGATTGGGCCAATGTCGGCACGCGGTCCGCTGTACTTTCTGTACCAAGTCTCTTTACCTGTTCTGTGATGCGAACTACCGTGTGCTGAAATTTTTTAAGCTAGACTATAAAGGTTGAGCCCCGCAGGGGGCTCTGAACCATAAAGATTGGGCCCTTGGGCCCAACCACCAAGCTAGCTAGTAGTGGGAGTGGAACAATGGTCTTCTGGCTTGCCCTCAAAGCACTGCAGCAGAGTCTCCTGCATCTTCAGCTTTGTCTTTGGGATGGGCTTTCCCAGGACCCTGGCCCAACCTTCATGTCTGCGAAGCTTGTGGAGTGGGTCCAACAGCTTGGCTTTGGTCAGACCACCTTGCTTTGGAGCAGCCTTTCTCTTGCCAGCGGCATGTTCATTGATCCTGGCCATCTGAACAAGCTGACCTTGTCTCTGAGCAAAGCTTTGGCATGCTGGGGCCTCAGCCTACCCCTGGGACCAGCGTTGCCCTGCCGCATCATGTTGAAGTGCATTCGATCGATTGATTCACCAGCTGAGCACGGCAACATTGGTGCGTATTTGCCAACAGCCGCCAGAAACCATGCCATTGTCGACCACCTTGGGGGAACCGTCCACTGGAGTACAGGTCCCGGATGTAGTGGTCGATACCAGCGGCGCCTCTTTCTATCACACTATCGTCTTCGGAGGATTTGATGAAGCGGCTTATTCTCGGCTGCGGTGAGTGCCTCTGCGAAGTACTCTGCGGCTACTGAATATCGTCGGCTGCGGTGAGTACCTCTGCGAAGTACTCTGCGGCTACTGAATACGGACGGGATCACCTCGGTTTTATTGTCTTGCTTCACTATCTCGCTCAAATTCGAAAGCCACTGCCGTGATCTCATTCGAAATCCTCTGGATGCATGCTCGTCGTCTTTCGAAAACATGGTATCGACCATGGGACCTGTACTCCAGTGGACGGTTCCCCAAGGTGGACGACAATGGCATGGCGTTCTTGGCGGCTGTTGGCAAGACAGGATGTGCCTCTGTGAAAGCTAGGACTCCTCTAATGGCAGGGATGTTTGATCGGCATCTGCAGAACCATTTCCCACAGGGAGCAGTCCACCGAGTCACATCCCCTGTTATGAGAGCCCTTGCAAGGCTGCTGAATCATTCGATCGAATGCACTTCAACATGATGCGGCAGGGCAACACTGGTCTCTGGGGTAGGCTGAGGCCCCAGCATGCCAAAGCTTTGCTCAGAGACAAGGGTCAGCTTGTTCAGATGGCCAGGATCAATGAACATGCCGCTGGCAAGAGAAAGGCTGCTCCAAAGCAAGGTGGTCTGACCAAAGCCAAGCTGTTGGACCCACGCACAAGCTTCGCAGACATGAAGGGTGGGGCCAGGGTCCTGGGAACTGGGAAAGTCCATCCCAAAGACAAAGTCGAAGATGCAGGAGGCTCTGCTGCAGTGCTTTGAGGGCAAGCCAGAAGACCATGTATTCCACTTCCACTAGCTAGCTAGCTTGGTGGTTGGGCCCCAAGGGGCCCAATCTTTATGGTTCAGAGCCCCCTGTGGGGGCTCAACCTTTATAGTACTAGCTTAAAAATTTTTCCACCCAGTGCAGTACTGGTACAAGTACCAGAACCCCATTCACCACACAGAAGTTGACAAATCCAACAAGAAGCATTGTGCTTGGTAAAGATTCCAACGTTCCAATTTCTACTACAAACTGCTGTGTCAATGTCAAGATCAACCATGTTGGTGAAAGCAGATTCAAGTCCCACCAACTGCCACGGGGAGATGGGAAAATGGCTGTTTTCATGGCCACTCGAATGGTCATTGGTGGCCATTGAGGGGCTAATTTGGTCAAAGCTGGTCAACATGACCAAAGGGCAAAACAGTGGTGTGGGCCATGCTACGCTAGCTAGCTTCTGTGCTTGGAAGGTACTAGTAGCTGCATACTACTAATAGCTACCGTGTCCTTTTGCATGGCTCTATGTAAAGGGCTCCGGGCAGGGTCGCAGGTAGGTGGTCATGGTCGTTGTTGTGGTCAGCCATGGTCAGCTGTGGTCGTCCGTGGTCACTGGTGGTCAGTCGTGGTCACCTGTGGTCACTGGTGGTCAATAATGGTTAATTACTAGTTAACTTTGCTAACAAAGTTTGATAATTGTGGTTAACCGTGGTCAACCGTGGTCAGTCGAGGTCAAGGGTGGTCAAGGGTGGTCAGCCGTGGTCAGCCGTGGTCACTCGTGGTCCCTGAAAAGTGATCGTTTATCACCAAAACCTGGTTGACAACCTTCCCACGTACGGTACACTACCCATTCGGTGGTCGGCACGTTCAGCTCAGATCTCTAGAGAGGGCTATTAGCTACTGGCTTCGGTACCGTAACCTTCAGCCTTTTTTGTTCTTCGGCCCGGGAATTGGCTAAGCTGGGTCATAGGAAGTCTTGAGTGGTCCTTGTTGGTCTGTTCCTGGTGGACCATGGTGCTTTTTTCCCATTTCCCGGTGAGCGAGTTGCTGGGACATGGGACGTGACGGTACCGTATTGCCCTCAACTACCAGCTAGCAAGCTGAGGGCCTTTTGAACTATTTGTTGTGATTTCCGTCCTTGCAGCTCCCCTTTTATGTCCGTGCAGATGCCCCATGATGAGAACCCAGCCCCTCCACAACCAGAACACCAGCAGCCGTAGCAGCCACCCTGTGGGTTCATGCCCAAATCCCATCCATCGTCCATCAATACATAATCTTGGAACTGCTGCTTTCAACATGCCTGTCAAACGTGGAACACCTGCTTACCATAGGAAACTTGAGGCCAATCGCATATACAAACAGAGGAAGTTAGCCAACCGAGCAGGAACTTGCAGATTTAGAAGCCCAACGAGAAAGAATGCGTCTCCATCGGGCTGGATTGACAGAAGAGGAGAAAGACCTAAGAAGGGAAGCCGACCGAAAAAGGAAGTGCAAGAGTCGTAAGGAGGAAACAAAGCAACAATCAGAGAATCGGAAAAGGAAGGACCGAGACAGGAAACGGAGAGAGTGGTCCCAGATATACTTTTTGAGAACGCAAAGAGAGGATCATAAAATGAGGCTGGAAAAAATAGAAAATAGATCCATCGAACAAAGATCCGAGCTGGAGAAGAAGATACGAATGAATGATCTATTCCTACAGCCAGCTTTTGGAGAAGTGGCACAGTGGGAAGCAAGGTGCAACTTTGAATGGAAAGAAGAAGAATCAAGGCAGGCAGAAATCAGGCAGGAATCTGACAGACTGAGATGGCAACTTGTCAAGTGTGCTGAACAGGCAACTGATGAACGCGAGGCTGAAATACAACGCTACAATGACTACTATGAGATGTTGGAAGCAGAAGACATTAGTTTCTGGCGTGAGCAGGTTTCAGCATGGAGCAAAGAGCACCGTCCAAATTGGGATATGATAGAACAACAAAGGGAAAAAAGATTCAAGAAATGGAAAAATGGAGTAAAGGACGTGCTAAAAAGGTCGCTGATTACACACACCGGTATTATCAGTGGAATGCTCAAGCCAAGCATCACGAAAATCACATGTGCCATTTGCAAAAGGGAGCACCACTCTACAATGAACTTGAACGGCAAGCTGGCTGGTTTAAGTACTGGGCAGACCAATCCAGTCGAGCTGCTCATTACTACAAGTCTTCGGAGAATGAACCTTCATTCGAGTTGCCGCCAAAACCTCAGACATGGAATCCACAACAGGGCAACAACGACAACAAAGAACATGGTTAGATATTGTAATCACTCATAGCATTGGAGCAAATACTAGCTAACTGCTCGAGCCCCTTGGCTTTTTTTCAATTCTTGTTGAGGGCACTAGCCTATGGCTGTCTGTTCTTACAAGCTTTGCATGATGATCCTGGAGTGGCAGGTCAGGGATGATGAACAGGTGCTTTTTGAGTCATCCACAGAACCCACAAAAGTGGATCCTTCCAGAGATCACTCTTAAGGAAAGTAAAGCACGGCGTCTTCAAGAGGGTTTCACACAGAAGAAGATGATGTCAAGGTTGCTATGCCCACCCGCAGAGTGATGGCTGCCAATGCTTTCGTAAGCTGTGTCTATGTGTTTATGTGTCTATGATGTTCCAGCTACCAATGACTTTCTTGGCGATGGCTTGCACAAGCTGGTGCATTGTGAATTGGCAACTGAATACATACAACTGATTGTATGGACATTAAAACTTCCCCAGCAGAAGTCGCCCAGCACAAGGAGTCTTTTGCTGGCTACCGGTACTGCACCCAGTAGAAGATTTGTTGGGCACTCAGTAGCCGGCAGAAACACTCACCAGCCTATGGCTAGCAAGACTCTCAAACGCCTTAAAAGCGCGTGCCTTCACTTCCCGGAACATATTGTAATAGTTTACAGCAAAGCCTATCTGCCGCAATCGGTGCGGCAGTCCGGCAGTGCGGTAGGGGACAGATCGGCTAGGTCTAACCGGTACCTGGTACCGGTAGCTGTCTGAAACAACTACTCCTCAGAGCAGCTAGCTAGCAAGCGGTAGCCACAGGCCAGGAGTGCAAGGGAGCTCGGTCACTATAAGTTCATAGTGGCCAAGTGCCGCGACAACGCAACAACCTACAAAACTCTCTGCTTCCAGCTTCCAGGATCCAACCAGCAGGGGAGGGGAGAAACAGACCTTCCTCGAGATGAATCCCACTAATGGTAGCCCTATCTGCAGCCGCAGTCTTGGTGCCGAGAGGGAAGGCTCCGCCAAATCGAAGCAGCATCTGCTGGGCTGTCCTCCAGCGCTGTTGGGAACTTGACACTAAGATTGCGAAGTTGAAATGTAATCAGTTGGGCTAATACTGTTAGCTCTTATTCTATAAAAAACGACGTCACTCTTGAAGCTACTGGTGAGCTTGAAGAACTGCTAGCCAATGAACGGCTTGATAATATCCAGTTGCTTGCTTGCTTCTCCCGGTTGTCTCCCTGTCTATTGCGCACTCTCCTCTTCCTTGGAATTCTCTCGTCGCGGTCGCTGGCGCTGGCGGTTGGGCATCGCAGGAGCGGCAGCTGGTCGCGGCGCAACAGAAAGGCTCAAGGCTTGGTCGAGGATGTCTACCGTTGACATTCCTCGATACGGAGACGAGACGCCGGAAAGAGCAGTTGCTACCTCTTCCTGGCATCGAGACAAGGAGCCTCCATTGCTGCCGCTGATATCGGAGGAAAACGTGTAGCGGCCAGCGGAGGAGCGTTCTTCGTGGAGCGAGGCATTTCGAAGTAAGGAAAACAGCGACATCCTGGTGTTTTCAGGAGAGGAAGTGCGGGAAGGAGCAGTTCGAATGGAGTCATCCTTGGCAGAGGAGGTCGACATGCCGCGGTTGTTGAAGGGATCCATAGTGTCGATAGGTTGGCAAGAGGCGAGTGGAGGGAGTGTTTGTTTTTGTTTTTGTTTTGTCACGAAAAGAGTTGTGAGTTGTGAGAGGTGGAGAGGAGCAGAGAAGGAGGTCTTCAGGAGGAGGAGGAGGGGAAGTTTCCAAAATCTTTCTGAAGATAAGTGAGTTAGCTGACACCTCCGGCACTTTCGAAGAAAAGAAGCCTTCTGAGGCATAGCAGACAAGGGAGTAACACAAAAATTGTGTTCTTTAATCCTTTAAATTTAAAGGTCATTATTAGAAAGAGAAGGAGAATGTGTCTTAAAGGAGGTTTCTGGGTAGTTCCATTCTCAAACTCCGCCTAGCTCTCCAGATTCGATTCTTTTCAGAAAGACCAACCATCGTGAAAGCTCGTGAAGAACTTCTTCGCCACTGCTTATTATTTCATGAGCTATTTCATATATTATTTCATGAGCTAGAGTCTATTTCATGTAATTGATTTCAGAAAAGGTTTTTCTCCTAGCTAGGTGCCAGTTAGGTTGCCAGTCATAGCTCAGTCATAGATAAGCAAAAAGATTCGGGCATCATGGTGCACTGTGAGCTGTCGCGTTCAAGCTTGGGGTAGTAGGACTGGAGCTCCAAGACTATTAATAGCTAGAACATTCGAATGGCGACAGAACCGCAGAAGTACCGCTCAGATAGATGGGAGTCCCTCAAAGCTGCTGCTTCTTGAGCATAATATTATCTGCTAACTGCAAGCAGCAGATCAGATAGATTGGTACCTTAGTTTAGGGTAGTCGTGCTTTGCTTTTGCAAGTTCCAGCCTTTGCTTCGGGTACGCCCACACCATCGAAGCTGTGCGCAACATTGTTGGTGCCCTTCCGCAGAAGGGGATCCTAGGAAGACAGCTGGAAACGTCGCTAAATTTCGGCTTTCGGCACCAGTGTGTAAAAGCGTGTAAACTTGAGTGTTCAGCTGTCGATTCTAAACTATTCTTTGTTTGTTGGATCGACATCTGCAGAGCTACCTGTACCTTCCCATCTTGCTTTGTGGCAGGTGTGCAGTGTAGTGCAGTCTGCAGCAGGTGATCTGAATGTCCACCTCAAACTCCTGTGAGTGCTCACCACAACTCATCAGGGACCTTCAAAAAGAAAAATCAGTACTGTGTATCTAGCTAGGTATCGGAGCAATACCAGGTACTCAGTACATAGTACATGTACATTGTACATGCAGCTGCGCATGCTACATGTATGAGCCGTGAGCCACTATCCAGCTGGCTCAGCTGACCATCGTGGGTTTGGCTGGAACCTATCCCAAGACCACGTCACAGAAATAAAGTGTGATTGCATAGCGCCCTTAAAACTGATTTTCTGGGTTCTCGAAATTTTTTGCCTTCGATGTCGGTGTTCCCTTCCAGACATACTTGAGCCTTTAGTTAGAAGACACAAAGAATCAATCGTCTCCATCATATATATGCAGAGACCTTCCTCCATTCGGTATCCGGTAGCATAAAGCTCTTGCAGACACAATCCGCAATGTTGCAATGACAGACATTACCAAGGCCAGAAGGGTGGACGTCTCAATAATATTTTTGTTAGGGATAAACAAGCTCAAGCTGGCTGAAATCATCGCTTGGTTATGGCTCATTGACGACAAGAAGAAGCCAGAGAGAATCCTATCTCACCAGGAGACTCAAAGAATTAACCGCAGGCTCTGACTCGACATAGAAGAGTACAGCTGTACGAGCTGGCAATTGCGCAACAGTTGTTTTGCGTCTTCCTCCTCTTCGATGAAACATTTATTTATTTATTTATTTATTTATTTATTCAAAACCACGACGTGGTGGCGTGGTGGTGATTGGAAGCTATTGGTGGTGATTTTACGGCTGCAATAGAGCTTTAAGACCCTTTTCCGCATTCATGAAAGAAGGAGAGTAGACGTGGGCGATTCGTTCGCAACTTCGCAACCTGACCTTTTCGAACAAAAAAGTCCTTAGGAGCGCTCTGTAGTCTAGCTAGCTTGCTGCTGTACTGCTGGAACCTTTTGCTGGGTATCACCACAAACTTCATTCTCTGCGGTATCGTCCGTGGAAGCCGTAGCACACATAGTAGCACAAACGAATATCGCAATATCGCCCTAGACTGCCACCATGACGACCGATGATAACAACAATAACAACAACAACCCAAACAACAATTCGAACAACCCCAAGCCAAGTGACTATCAGCCTCCACCCGCTGAAAACTCGCTGTTGGCCCAAACTCTGGCGGCGCAACGGCAGGCGGCTGTCCCCGCCACAAATGCCAGCACTCAAGAGCTTCTTCGTCGACTGCAGAATGGATTTGGCCGGGGACTGAGCAACGGTGGACAAGGAGCAGCAAGAGTGGGACCACGAGGTACGGAAGCAGATCGAGATCGCTCACTGCTCCAGATCCTAGATGATGCAATTTCTCTCATGGATCGACATAGGGCGCGGTCATCGACGGATGGTGAAACTACGGCAACCCCGGCTAGGCGAAGCCGCCCTGGACCTCCAAACTCCAATACCCGCAACACAAGGAGGAGGCACGATAATGGTCCAGACAGTCCCCCCAGCAATGACAAGACCGCAAAGGGGCAGTGAGCAATACATGCAGCAACCATGGTGGAAAGTCACAACTCAAGGGATGGCTCTTCCGGGCTGGTTTGTCATTGGCCGTATGCAGCTTTCTTTGATTCAAATTTTTACTCCACCGCCACCACCACAAACAAGAACAACACCATGCATCAGATTACATCTTACGTCTTATCCCAGTACAGATTCAAGCCAGAATACATACATAGATGCCTAAGCTAGCGCAAAACCATTACGGCTGTTTTGAGCTTTTCATGTACTACGTTTGAGCTTTTACATGTATTACGTTCTCTAGCCAGCTAGGAGCAAGGTTTTCCTTCGATAGGTTCATGGTTAGCTGCAGCTGGCGTAACGAGATGTCTGCCCTTTGAGCGGGACAGTACAACTAGAAGCGTCACAGATGAAACCTGCGGCTTCAAAGCTGCCATACTCAGATCAGCTGTCTCCCCTACCGTACCGCAGAAAACCCACCTCGCTATTTGGCAGTGCCCAGCGTGCCAGGAGGAAAGCCCATTTACTTCAAGTTTGTGCTCTCAATGCAATGAGCAGACTGCCCGACATCCCGTACTAGTAGTTTAGGACAAGGTACCGGTAGGCGAGCATCCTGCCTTCTCCCATTCTTGATAGCCCCATCGTAGTGGAAGACACCGCATCAAGTCTCGTGAAACGTGAAACCCCAAAATCTATACACGGTTTGTGGTAAACTTTGATTGGAGTGGAAGGTGCTGGTTTCTCGGGACGCTGCTGACTCACTCATGCACATCTGGCTGCCAAACAAGCCGCGACTATCTATGGCTGGCTGGCTAGCTAGTAGTTGGCCATGGTCAATTCGTCTCTACTCGAAGAGGATTTGGGGACCATCCCACTTCGATTTGCACATCCGCAATGACTTGAAAAAAGTGCTGTAGCTATCATTCATTCTGCCCCCAATAAGATTCCCGGACCGCCAATCTTGCTTCAAGAAGCAACAAGCAACCATTCTCATCGACTTCAGTGTGTTTTGCTACTTATTGCCTTGTACTGGTACTGGAACATATGGCACAAGTGTTATCATGATGCCTCCCTCCAGGGGCACGGGGCACTGAGGGCACCGACATTCTTGCTCGTTGACCTACTAGCAGCCGTCAAGGTCGTGGCACTGGGAAGACTAGATCTACTGCGATTTGCGAATTGCCTTCATTCAAAGCCCATGCGTTGCCTACCCCCGCATTTCTACGTCAGAACGCCATTGAAACATTGGAGCTAGCTAGTCAGTATCTTCTATCTAGCTAGCTAGAGCAAATAGTATGCCTTCGTTGCCCTTCGGGCTTGCTACAGTACGGCTACCGGGAGGTATGTCATAGGTACTGGCACGAGTACTAGCTAGTACAGTATCATCGTACGGCTGTATCGGCTCCCTCCTGGTCCTTGGATCTTTCGCTGAATTTTAGCTCTAACGCTAAGATCATTGTCACGAATGAGATGAGAGAAGAGGGGGGAAAACCGCAAGGTCCCGAAACGGGACTTAGAAGGTGTCAGTTTCACCCTTTTTGTTAGTTTCACCCTTTTTGTTAGTTTCAGGCTTTTGTTAGTTTCACGCTTTTGGGTTAGTTTCACGCTTTTTGGGTTAGTTTTACGCTTTTGGGTTAGTTTCACGTTTTTGGGTTAGTTTCACCATTTTGAGTTAGCTTCACCGTTTCAGTCGTGTTTACATTGATTTACTATGACAAGATTGTACTTAGTTTCACGCTTTTGAGTTAGTTTCACCGTTTTTGAGTTAGTTTCACCGTTTTTGAGTTAGTTTCACCGTTTTGAGTTAGTTTAACCGTTTTGAGTTAGTTTCACGGAAATCGGGAATTTCCGTGAAACTAAGAAAGGGTGAAACTAAGAAAACGGTGAAACTAAGTTGTTAGTCACGTTTCGTGACCTTGCAGATGATCTGGTGGCTTCTTGCTTGTTCCAGCTTACACACTCAGCGTTACCGTCATTTATTTTGTTCACCACAACGGTCAGCGGTACTTCCAGTTTCCAGTAGTACAAGTGTACAAGTGGGTACTAGTACCGGCACAGGGAGAAAGATACGCAGCTTCGTTTGGCACGACTTGAAATCTTCCACTTTTTGGGCTTCGTTCATTTACTTGGCAGCTGGCACTTCCCGTACTTGCATACCGATACTAGCTAGCTAGACTACGTCTTGTAGCACTGGTGTTGACCATGGCAGACCGCTCATCTTCAGTATCAGAGGCAACAGAGACAATGGAGGAAACTCCAAGTTTCTGTTGGAGTAGTGTAGCAGAAGAGCCCTCATCATTGGATACCACGCGCCACCGCCCGTCCATTGTGGGCATTGGTGGAAGGGATCTAAATGTTGCATCCGACGACAACAATACCGAACAACAACCAAGAGCCTCGGAACCCAATGTCTTGTTGGCAACTGCACGGGACAGTCTGAGTGCAATTGACTCTGATTCGTCACGGCGTCTGGTGGGCAGTGGCTGCAGCAGTCACCCCATCAGTACAGGCAGCGGTAGCTTTCGGGGCAGCACAGGCGTTGATACACCGGAAGCAGTTCGAGTCTTGGTCAAGGAACTAATGGAAACAGATCGACAAGCAAAAAGAGCTACCAGGCAGTCTCTCCGGCAAACGGTGGCAATGCCAGCAAGGACGCCAGTGCCTGATATAGTCGTCCAACACGAAGCGACCATGGGTCTCTCCAAAGGCCTGCCAGCGGACAAGTTTAAAAACAGTTCTCGATCATTCGAGGATGATCTCACAGCCAGGACATCGGTTAGCACTGTCGGTACCAGTGCTAGTAATCGATCATTCGAGCATGATCTCACAGCCAGGACATCGGTTAGCACTGTCGGTACCAGTGCTACTAATCCACGAAGGATTCGGGAGGCAGATGCCTTGCTCCCTGGAGCTTATGCTCTCCAAGGAGGACGGGAACCAAGGCACTCTTCCAGGAGAAGACGAGTACAAGAAGAAGGAAAGCAAGAAGACGACATCGAGATTCCTCCTCCTCCCTTGTTGATTGAAGCGACGTTAGTCCCTCAAGTTAGCGAACGTGTGATCGTCACAACGAATGCAGACACCATCGATTACAACGATATAGAGCAACATACTGCTCTTCCGACTCTCAGAGCTGTAGAGGTCGAAGAAGTTGAACTGCGAGATTTGCTCAAGAATAGGCGGCTGCAGCGCTTCATCTGTTGCTTAGTGTGTGTTGCAATGCTTTTTGCCGCAGGAATTGCAGCAGTGTTGGTCAGCGAAGCTGATTCACAGGATGATCCTATGTGGATAGGAGACACAGAGGCGTCAGTTGCACAAGATGACCACGCAAGTTTGGGAACGACTTCCCAAACTAACATGCCGGATCCTCGAGAAACCAAACCCAATGAAGCTGGAGAGCTTGCGGACGACGGTGTCATTCAGAATGAAGGCGGGTTTGGTAGTGACGACGACGACGACGTCGTCGCCAAGTTTTTTGAGGGATTGTTCGGTGCTATTGCAGCGAACGTAGATGAAGAATTTAGTACTGATGACGACTTGAGTCCCCAAGACACTGCGGAATTTGTGAGCTTTTTCATTGGGAAGACCAATGGCGGCAACGACAGTGCGGATCTCGAGGGCGGGGAAGATTCCATCGACCATCACCGAGAATACTTTCGGCAAGTCTTGATCTTTATAGATCAGCCAGTCTGGAATGACACTACCATGCCTGCCTTCGAAGCTCTTCAAGTCGAGTATGCAAAACAGTTCATCATCGCCACGGTCAGTGAAAGTCAAAACGACCATCTCTCTATCGGCCCCGAAGTCCTGAGAAGCATAATCGACGAAATGAATGTGGAGTGCCATGTGACGAGTCAGTCGGCAGAAACCATTTCCCTCCTCGACACATTTGGTCGTCGTGGGCTTCTGGAGGAACAGCATCACCGACATTTACCATTGTTCGCAGAGGACGTTTGGGTGAGTGAAGTCTTGTATGAAATGATATGGGATACTCCAGGGATACGCACAACGCACGACAGTCCTGGCGTGCTCATGCAAGAAGGAGCTTTGGAGAATTTGGAAGGGTGCATAGAGGATCTCCAAGGAGTTTTCGGCCCCACATTAGTGTCCACAACGCCGCCCCTGCTTCTTCTGGATGGAGGAATGGGAGGCGCCGGATCTGTGACGACTGCTTTTCGACAATGGCTCTTCCCGCAAGAAGGCCGTGATCCAAATGTTGCCACCTTTGAAAGTGTCCTCAAGGATCATTCCAACCGCTTTCTTCAGGAAAGGGTTGCCGTCATGGCCGAGAGTGCAGGAATTGAGTTCATTCCGGAGGAAATCAAGACGAACTGCTCCGTTCTATTGAAGTATCAACATGGAAAGCCACGAAGAAGAGGCTATCGAGCTCTTCGTGCACCATCACCATCTACTCACCTCAAAGGAGATCGAGGTCTATCAAGTCCTGGCAGTTTCAAGATGATGTTTGTCCAATATGCCATTGTGTGGTATAATTCTGACCCACCAAGTGGAACGAGCGTCGACGATAGCCTTGCCAGACTTCCAGCGCTCTTTGAGGAATACCTGAACGACCACATGGAGTCGCTAACAGAGGACCTCATACCGGTTGGAGAGATCCGTTCGTTCCCGGTGAGAATCGTCGGGCCACCGCCACCACCGCCACCATCCACAAATTCTTTGCCTGACCAAGACGCAACTTGGAAAGAACTCCCACAAACCTTGGTGCCCTCGCTTCAAGACACTTTCTTGGCCTCGCAAACCTTGGTACCCTCGTTCCAAGGCACTTTCATATGACGACGACGACACTTCCCTCCTTTTGAAGCAGAGGTCGCCCCTCGAGAGTGTCTCCATTTTGCGACATCCCTTCAAAGGAAGTCATGGAGGCATAATGGAATTCCCGCACCTCCAATGCCTACGGTACCTGTACCGGACCGGTTTTGTCCTCCTCAAACAGCTGACTTCATGAAACGGCCGTGTGCTTGTGATTGTCGTGAAGAGGCAGGATATTCGTAGCCAGTCTCTGCCCTTACTCATACCACCAGCTATTATGTAATAGGCCAACATCCCTTTGACGTCGGAATGGAAGTTCAATCTTCATTTATTCTTCCCTTTCGCAGTCCACCATTATTTTTGGGCAACTGTTTTGGGCGTTGTCTTCGTTCACAAAATCGTTACGAGTACGGTATGGCACATCGTAGCCTTGCTAGCTTGTTCTGGTTCGAATAATTATTGAATTCTTCAGTTTTACTACAAAATTCCCTAGAGTGATCTGCCCATTAAGACCCACAGTAGATTAAGACTATTGTAATAAATAGAGGTACGTAGGTAGGATCCTACGTAGACTCAGTACCAGAGCCCCAGAGGTGCTTCCTAAGGGGCCACGTAGGATCTTACAGGATCCTCCACGTAGGATCCTACGTAGATCAGTACCGTGGAGTCTTAATATGCAGATGAAAAGAATTCGTGTCAAAAGTGAGGATAATTTCAACTGCTCATAACTCCACCAATAAGTACACTGTGATGCTGCGAATTTAATGGCTTACTCAACAACATGTGCTCTTTCGATTCAGCTACTTAGAAGTGTAATATTCGATATCCAGCTCTGAAGAGAATATTCCGCGGAACGGTCGGTCTTATTAATACCCAGATCACTCTATATCGTCTCCTGGAGATGACTTGCTTTTAGGGGTAATGGTACGGATGGGGCAGAGGTTTGAATTATACCCGGCGCGCATTACTTAGAAGGCCCTGTAGAAGTCTACGTATTCGACTAGTATTGTATTGACGGGATACAGTCAACGCATGTACATGCACATGAAAGTCGCCTTGCGTTCTTCACATTTTAAAAGTTGGCTCCTAATTTTTCGGGGTCGCCTGTGATTTGATTGGACGCTTGATCTTTTTTCAATGACTGACATTGAATGACGTACGAGGTGCAATGCGAATCTCAGAAACGTAGTTGTAGTAATAAAATTTTTTATATACAGATTAATTTACCCTATATCCCTACCGTTTATAATTATAACAAGAACCCGTCTTCTCCCTGGAACATTTCATCGTATTGATCTTCTCCTAGGACAGAAAGCCCAATAGTATCCTTAAATCTTGCAAGCATGTCTTTCATTCGTTGTGGCATGGGAACCGCCGACACTCGATATCACAAGATCATTGAAGTTCTGCTTTACAAACGGGAGTGCATTCCAAAAGGGCAAATGTATTTAAGTAACAATCCGCAGTTGAAGTGTCGCAGGCGAAGGAAGCGGGAGAAGTATAAGTGACTGGGCAACGGCTGCCAAACTGACGACAAACAGAGAAGGCTTTCGAGTGTATCATTGCAGCCTTCTTGTTGACATTTTATGAGGAAGCTGAAAAGTGGACTTAGAGGATGGAGATCCGGATATGGGTTGAAAGCAAAAAGTCCGAACTTTCTAGTAACAAACCTTTTGATTTGAATGGAAGTCGTGGCACCACAATGATTCTTCTTCTAAATGGGCCTGGAGAAGTGGAAGACTACCGTAATGACTTATCATGGCCTATGGCAAAGAATCTCAGTTTGATTGATCATCCATTTAACGACCGAACCATGTTGTCACTGCTATGTCGGGGTTGCTGCTACAATACTACATGGGGAAACAACGCATTCAGCTGTGGGATTGAACAGAACATCGGGAAAGTGTGGCGAAGAACTTGGTAGAGGATGGATGACGCACGGATGCTTATCATAGACGAAATTTCATTCGCGGGGGAACTTGACTTAGTGAAGATATTCCACTACACCAAGACCTTGATGCAAGACGAATACCAACCATTTGGGGGACTTAACGTGGTGTTCCGGGGGACTACTCTCAACTTGAAACAGTGGGACGCCCCCCAATTTACAATCTCAGCACACCATTCCTGAATTTCATGACTCTTTGAATTCATTTATTGAGTTAGATGGAATGCACCGCTTCAAAGACGATCCTGAATGGGGCAACGCTGTTTAAGATCCGTGAAGGGCGACCAACAGAAGAAGATAATAGACCATCAATGACGCCTGCATGGTTGCCCAACCCATGTTCCACCAGAGAACATTCAAGTTGCCTACTTATCTGAATCGAGATCGAGTGCCATTAACTCAGCTATCTTCGAAGTTTTTGCGGGAAGAACAAGCCTGCTGATGATTCCGTGCTATGGATGCAGTACTCATTTTCATGGACGATCTTCAAATGGCCAATCAAGCAGGACACTGGTTCCTGTTAAGAGCAATTCGGTTTAAAGCACTTCTTTTCAACATGTGGAGAAGACCGTAAACCCGGTTCGGACTCACGAAAACGTGTTGATCCTGCTTTAAGTTATATAAGGGTGTTCTGTAATGTTTAAGAGAACACGCAATGTTCCGAATGGAGAACCAATGGATCTCGGCTTTTTGTGAGAAAGGTGAATGTGAGGATGTTGCACCCCCATGGTTATCAACTCGACAACGGCTGCAAGATTCGGGGCTTTTTTCTCAGGTCAAGTCAATCTATCCTTGTGGAACATGAAATGAGACTATTATGCCACGTAATTTTTATGTAACGGAGCAAAGACTACACTTTCAGACCAGATGGTTTTATGACGGAGAAATTGTACACACCAAGATGAAGGGTAAGCAGTTCCCGATTATCAGCAATTCTGCGACAACTTGACACAAATTACAGGGATAACTGCAGTGTGGTTATTGGTACATTCATGGCGATACTGTCAAAACTGGGCTTACGTGGTGTTATCAAGGGTGCGAACATGAGTGGTTTGTTCTTATTGAAGAAGCTGGATTGGGAACCAAAGAACTTTG